CTCTTAAGGCCGCCTGCCCTCGGCCTACCTTGTTACACCCAAGACTTTCATTTGTACGTGTACGAAAACGGAGGCACAGCCGCTGCAATCCTGGCCCAAGAGCATGGGGGCACTTTCCGTCCAGTAGCTTATTTATCTAAGACCCTGGATTCAGTAGCCAGGGGACTCCCAGCCTGTTTGCGTGCAGTGGCCGCCACAGCTGTCATGATACAAGATGCTGAAAAAGTTGTTTTATCGCATCCACTCATTGTGCATGTCTCTCATCAGGTAGGAGCTATCATGCATAACATTTCTACTCAACACATGACTGCCCAACGCCGTTCAGGCTATGAGGCTATTTTGTTAGCAACTGCTAATTTAACGTTGAAAGTAACTTCTGTTCTTCATGGCCCTACTGTACATTTGCACAGATTGCTGACGCAAGGTGAATTTGAGAGTGACGACCATGACTGCCTGAGCAGGATCCAAACTTCTACTGCCTGCAGGCCAGACGTTTCTACGTCTGTCCTGGAGGAGGGAAAGCATTGGTATATTGATGGATCCTGCTTTAAGCCAAATGACAGTACATATTTGTGTGGTTACGCTATTGTTGAATTACCTGATAAAGTAATTGAAGCGCATTCACTGCCATATAAATCAGCACAAGTTGCAGAACTGATTGCATTAACAAGAGCTTGTCAATTGGCTAAAGGTCAGTGCATCAATATATACACTGACTCCAAATATGCGTACGGTGTAGTCCATGATTTTGCTAAATTATGGGAGGAAAGAAACTTCAAAACCTCCGACGGAAAACCAATTTCGCATCATAATGTTGTGGCTGAACTGATTAGTGCAGCACAGCAACCATTGAAGCTTGCAGTTATTAAAGTAGCTGGTCATAAAACAGGTGAATCTGATGAAGCCAAAGGAAACAGATTTGCAGATGAAGTAGCAAAATGGGCAGCAAAAGAAGCAATATGTAGTCCACATGTAAGTGAACAAAGCAATGAAGTGCCGATGATGAATTCGTCGTTGATTAATGATTTGGATGTTAAAATACTGCAAGCAAATCCTACTCAAGAGGATTTGACTCATTGGGCATCCAATGAAGTGAAACCAGATCAAGCTGGTATTTTAAGAGATAAACAAGGTAGAATTGCACTACCAGCATCCACAGTTGTAATGCTGTGCAGACATTATCATGGTGTATCACATGTGTCGAAAGAGAAAGTGATACAAAATTTGAATCGATCATACTGCATAGCCAATGTTCGAAGAAATACTTTGTTGATATTGGATGCTTGTCTAGTGTGTGCTCAAACCAACAGGCACAAGGCAATCCGCCATGATGCTTTACCGCATCCAGAACTTCCGTTCCAATATTTACAGATTGATTTTACACACATGCCTCCATGTGGAAATCACAAGTATTTGCTCGTGATTATTGATCGATTTACTAAGTGGCCTGAAGCTTTTCCATGTGGAAAAGAAGACGCGAAGACAGTAGTAAAGATTCTTGCAAAAGAAATTATACCGCGCTTCGGTATTCCGACTGTGATAGCAAGCGACAATGGAACTCCGTTCACTTCTAAAGTTACACAATTATTAGCTAAAGAGCTGAAAATTAATTGGCATTTCCATATCCCGTACCATCCGGAATCTTGTTCGAACGCCGAACGACTTAATAAAACGATAAAAGAACGTCTAAATAAAGCGTGTCTAGATACGGGAAGAAATTGGGTTGATTTGTTGCCTGCCGTACTGACGGAAATAAGAATGTCTCCGTCAGCCACTACAAAAATGTCTCCATTTGAAATTCTCATGGGTAGACCTTTCCCGACCCCTTGGGTCAGAGGTCGCGCTGGCAATCTTTCCACAGGTGACACGGAGGTGATCATCGCAGATTATGTGGATTCCCTTGTTAGAACGTTAAATGGCATAAATGGTGATGTTTCTCTCTCTCTCCCTCTTCCCTCAGAAAAGCCAACTCATCCCTTTGTTCCAGGACAGTCGGTGTTGGTGAAGTGTCTAAAACCCACAAAGCTTGGGGAAGCGAATTATCTTGGGCCTGCCACCGTGATCGCTGTGACAAGGACCGGTGTTCTGACTGACCTCCAGCCGCAGTGGATCCATGCTAGCAGAGTGAAGGCAGCCCCGTCCCCAGGGAGCGCATAAGCCTATGCGGAGGTGGATATCCAGCACTTATCGAAAGGAGAACGAGGAAGAGAAGTAGACGAAAAAAGAAAAAAAAAAAAAGAAAAACGAGATTGCTGATTGAAGTTAGCAATAAGTATCATTGAGTCCATCAAGTCATGTTTGCACAGTCGCTTTTATACCTGATTGTGCTAAAAAATTTGCTAATTTACACACAAGCGCTTATAAGCAGTGGTAATGAAACTTGGTTGGATCATACAGATGAACCACATGCGTTTGCCTCCAATATGTGGTGGAGGTTAGCCAACTTCACTGCTAAGTCAACAGGAAAAAAGAGTGACTGTTATGTTTGTACAAAAATGCCACAAAGTGCGTCTGGACCTCATGTAAGTGTTAAATCACCAAAGACAGATGAAGAGCTGTTTTGTCCTTTATTTCTTAGTACTGTGGGAGCGATTGCACCTCAAAATTCAACTGTGAACTGGACTTGTCCTGATAACAGGAAACTGACAGTTGCAGTACAAGTACATGCTAAAGTGGCAACTGTAGGTCCCATTCCCGACTCATTGTTATGTATTGAAAGAAAAGTAGGAGCCGCAGTACTTGGTTCAATTCCTGAAGGTAAATGTAATCAAATGTATCGCCGTTGTGAAATACAGCCTGTTGTCTTAGCTGTTTGGAAGGGGAAGGAAAATTTAACTTGGAAGATTGTTTAAAAAGGTCTCCTCTTCCAATTTCAGCTACGGTTGCTTATGCCAGAGCAACACCTGAGCTTCAAGAGTTATGTGATGAGTATTGTGGACTGTACGCCGGTAAAAATTGTAATAGGTATGTTCCATCTGTAAAAGGAACCAGAGCTTTGAAAGACTGGTTCTGGTTATGTGGACACGGGGTTTATACCTCGCTACCATTCAATTGGAGTGGACGATGTGCTTTAGTAACTTTAGAGGAATATTCTATGATCATTAGACCACACAGGTATGACAATGTGACTAACCAACGAAAAACACGCTCCCTCTCTGACCGCAGCTCAACTAGTAGTTTGGGAAGAGACAATCCAGTCCCCAAAGAACACAGATTATGGACTGGTATGGAAAGATTCTTTGAAAGTATATTCCCATCAATAGGAGTTGGTAGTCTTCAAGTTGAAGTAGAAGTTACAAGATATGAATTGATTTCCTTTATTAAAACGACAAAAGCCACCTTAGAAGGTGTCCGAGAGGAGCTTCGAGCTCTTCGTTTAACTGCTTTACAGAATCGTTTGGTTCTGGATCAACTTACAGCTGCACGGGGTGGAGTCTGTGTGATCGTTGGAATTTCTTGTTGTACGTATATACCAGAAAATGATGAAGATGGTCATATCATAGCTGATGGAATAAACAATATGACAAGAATTGCTGATGAATTACAAAGAAGAGAAGTGAGTGATAGAGGTGGTTTTGGAGATTGGATTACGAGTTGGAAACAAATGCTTGTATCTGCCTTAATACCAATAGGAGTTATCCTATTAATCCTTGCATTTATTGTTTGCTGTATTATCCCATTTATTAGGATGTTGATTTATCGTGCTATGAATACTTTCGTATCCTCTCAATATTCTCTAGCGAATAGAACTATCAAGTATTAATGATTTGAAGGAAATGTTTGATTGAAGGATTTTTTCGTGTATTATTCTGTAAAAATGGACATGCTGATCATGTGATATGATAATTCTGTTATATGATAACTGTCATTATCAAAGGGGCCATTGTCAGAAATATAAGTCTTTTTAGTCTCAGCTATGTCCATTAGGCCAAAGAGTGTAAAGGCTCTATGAAGAGTTTATGCTTTGCTTGCACATTCCTCTGTATGTATGTGTGTAAGTTCAAACATCTGGAGAGTTTCTCCCTCTCCCCTTTCTGTTCTTCTTTCTTTTGTTACATATAGAAAGTCTTCTAGGATCCCTAGGTTCTGAGGGTATTTTCAACGGATATTGACCATATTCGGAGTTATTATATAAATGTTATACAACGTATATATGATATGGCATGAGGTCATATATAATTCTATTGGATAAGACCAGATAACTCCCCTCGATATTTTCATATATATTTGCATGTCACATATGGGGAGGCTGAGCTATCTTTTCTGGCTCCCCCAGCGCTGGTGATTTTGATTCTGTATGGTCTGTTCACAACTCAATAAAAGGACGTGGAGGAAAAGGCACTTGTTGGAAGTCGTTCATTTCTAACAATTAGAATGAGGTTTTAATATACATAAAATGTCTCTAGTTAAATCAGTTACCATAGATGTATATATTTGCGAACGATGACGCCTACGTTTTGTTTAGTAACATTAACGTAAATGTCTGCTTCAAAAATACTTTCGATTTCACATAAAAAACCAACAGCCTAACACGGAAGAGGAAATGGGAGAAAACGTTTTATAAACATATTCGTGTTGAATAAACGTTTCTCAATAAAACTTTTTGTGTTTTTACTTCAAAAGATTGTAATTTCAGTCAGATTCTTCTTCTGTTCAGAGTCGCAGAAGAACAGCCTTCTGTAACTTCACATTTAAATCTCGCTTAATATACAATATGAAGTTCGTAATAATTGCAAATGACTGTAATGGATAATGTAATAAACTTACTTGCAGTCTTATATTTGGTTGGTATTGTGCTAAATCGACATTTGTAGACATGTTTTCTGAATCATAGACGAAATCAATTCCAGTGAGCGACAGGTTTGGGTGTGGACAGGTGTTGCTTTAGTTTTCTTCTTCTTCTTCTTCTTCGTTTTATTGGCGAGTCGCATCGATTTCTATGGAATTAATATTGAGCCAATAAAAATGAACGTAACTTTTCAAGAAATCAACGAAAATATAAATTGAAACTGAAAAAAATATCTTTGAAACTGAAAAAGAATAACTCACTAGCAAATTTATTGACTTCGTTTTTAGCACACTGCATGTTTTGCTAACTATTTCTCATATTTCTTTCGCTGATCTGAACTTACAAATGCACTTCTAGAGTTTTCATTTACGCTTCTGACATTTTCGCTTACGCTTCTGAAGTTTTCATTCGCAATTCTGTCCCATACCTACCGTGTGGGCGGGCTTAACAGCGGTTTGCTCTCATTGGCTAGTGAGATTTGGATTGACAGATCCTTGAACCGGAAGGAGAGACTTCAGCGGCGCGAATTTTGGGATCTGCTGCAGACATTCTCTGGATCTGTGTCTAACAACAGTAGCAACACTGTGATATTAAAGCACATCATCGATCAATATTAATAAAACCGAGATGAGTAATAACCAGGAGCGGCACGGAGCGTCATCAACATCCTCAACTGCAGGGCATTCGAGGCAGCCCGAGGTAACGTTACGTTTAATATCAAATCCATAGACAAATCTAGAAACAAGTTTTTTCTGCTCTGTCCAAGTTATGTCTTTATGTCTAGTAGATCGATTTTGACGTGTTTATATTCGTATTATTCACATGTCTGCAGTGCAATTTTTGTAGTTTGAGTACTTTGATTGCTACCCCCAACATTTTTATTACCCCAACATATGTGATGCGTTCAAGGATGTTACATGATGTAATTTAAGCAAAGATCTCAGACTGATCTTTATTCTGCAGCAAGGCTCAAATGGTGGTGCAGCAGATGCTGCATCAGCTATTCAAAACATCATAGAGGTGCTCCACCAGTCGCTGGGTAAAACCAGCACAAGGCAGAGTCAGAATCAGGGGAATCAGAATCAGCGCTCAGGACAGTGCCAGACTGTGGACCAAGAGATGGCCAGGTTTCAGCTTGCAGTCATGATTGCAGTTGCAGATTGCAATGACAGTTACTATTTGCAATGCAATTTTGTTCACATGTAGCCTATGCATTTATCAGATACTTTTATCCAAAGCAACTTGCATAAGCCTACATAGAGTAGCATAAGCAATCTGTCACAGAATGTATGTATGTATGTATATATATATATATATATATATATATATATATATATATATAGTTCTAAATACTTTGAGTTACTAACTTTTTTTATTTAATCATCTCTTGTAGGTCTTTCCCAGGATTTTTTAAGCGGGGGTCCAAAAGGCGTTTACCCAGCTGTAGTAAACCAGCTAAGTTTAGTAAAGCTTGGAAACCATTTGTGTTTTCAGTGTTTCTTTTAAATAAAAATGTAGAAATGACCCCTTCATCAGCGGAGGAGCTGCAACTCATGCAGGCTGGACTGGGGAAACGAAATCTCTCAATGGCTGATGATTTGACGCATTCAGAGGTTATGCATAAAATATTCATTCATAGCTGATGGATACAATAACTTTATTTGTAATAATAATTTGTTGTAATTGTGGATTTTAGATTTCCAGCTTGTTTTGTGATACCTATCCCAAAATGAAGTCAGCATCTGGAGGATGGCTTCTCTACAAGGCATCTGGTACTATTTGGACACCACTACAAGTTCTATTTGCAAGTTACAGAGATTCAGAGAATCACACAATGCAACTAGTTTCATGTATGTTTTATTTGTTTATGTACGTTTAAATAGGTTGGTATAGTCAATATTCATGTTTTCAGCAATTAAACATCAAAGTGAATACCTGAGAATGAACAGCAAAATAATTAAATAGTACAAAAATGCTGATCATGTCCATATAATGAAATACTTTTTTTTTGTTAAAAACAACACAAAAACACATTACTCCTCTCACGCTTTTGCTATTTGGTTAAAAACAAAATCTTATTTTGCATTTGACTATCAAAAAGTCTACGAGGGAGTAAATATGTGTTTTTAACCTCCAGTATCATCAAATGCCTTTATTATTGACTAATATCAGTGCATTACTAGTATGATTATCAGGGTAATTAATTTGATTAATTTCTTTTACAGTTTATTTTCTGTTTGTGAGGGTATATACATTTCTTTTTTCCATAAACCAGTTTGTAAGACTTTTAAAGGATGATATACAGTATATTGATGATGATGTTGTATAAAAGATTTACATAATAGAGTATATATATATATATATATATATATATATATATATATATATGAAGAGTTCAGATGCAAAAGCCTCTAAGTGCCATTTGAAAATTTCTTCTAGAATGATCATTTTTATCAAGCTTGTATATATAAGTTCAGTGATTTCACTTAAATGGCAATGAAGATTACCTATTAATTGTCATTTAAGTGAAATTACTGAACTTAAATATACAAGTTTGATAAAAATCATCATTAAAGAAGAAAATTTCAAATGGCATTTAGAGGCTTTTGCATCTGAACTCTTCATATATATGTGTGTGTGTGTATGTATGTATGTATGTTTTTATTTTATTCAGGTGGACAGGGAAGGCGGCGTCTTAATCTTGTTCCCCCGGAGTCGGACGGATACAGTGGCAGTACCATCAGATGTGCAACTGGAGGGGGGAAAACCATGCTGTATATTGTACCTTTACAGGATGAGTTCGATCTTTCTCCTCTTCCCTCCGATGCACAGGAATTTTCGCTAATGCCAAAAGCAGAATGCAAGAAATGTTTTAAAATGATGCCACTTCAAATTCTTGCCCTGCATGTGAGGGAATGCGATACTCTGGAATATGAGACACTCTCAGATTCGGAACCAGAGGTAAAAACTTTGTGTTTTTTTAGGTTACCTTTTAAGTAACTTATGTAGGCTGTTAGGGCTGTTACGATTCCCTCATGTTACGACTCGATACATATCACAATACGATATTATTGCGATACTCCAAAACGTATGGTAAAAGATTAACAATAAATTAACAGTTGATTAAAATTCTAAATTTGGTATTACATTTTGAATGAATATCTTGGACTTGGTGCTAGAAACCCAATGAACAGGACAAAAGTGACAATGCTCCTGAAAATACAGAATTAAATTAAACGAATATGCTTGCACTCTTTCACTGATTAACTATCCACGATACAAATTGTTGTATTTTTGTTTTGCGATACATTGTGACACCCCTATTGCATATGGAAATGTTTTTTTACATATATATTTTTGTCTATAACCAGGTACCTGATTCACCTCGTGCCTTTGAGGAAAAGGTAATTTACTTCTGGCATGGGATGACATCCTTCTGAGTGCTTTTAGTATTTTACATAATCACTTGCTTTTTAGTCGACAGATGCAGAGTGTCCTGTGTGCATGAAAACGTTTCCTCTGATGGAATTGGAGATCCATGCAAGTGTTTGTGGTAACTTGGAAAGGTAATGCAATACACATAGCAGTTTAGAAACTGCAGTCTAATTTTATGGTGTGTGATGTATATTTTGACAGTTCTTGATAGATTAGACTTTAATAGAAAGTAGCTACATATAAATGCACTGAATTAAATATTTTTACTTCACATAAACAGTATTATATTTTCACAGTTGCTTTTTTTCCTAGTTCAGAGTCCCTTCAAACAAGGAGCCCTGATATAATGAAGCCACAAAATAAAGAGATGTCATGGTACTTTCATTTAAAAAAGTAACATTAATATTGTTAAGTAAAAATGTATAACTTCTGTATCATGCGGTCTAAACCATTCCATGCTGAATATTTAAAAGATTTAACAGTTAAATATAAAAACAATTTACAGTGAGGAGGATGTCCTACGATGGCTAGCTGCTCAAGTTGACGCCTCCAAGGAATTCAGCATCTGTGTGTCCAGAATGAACTTTGTGGAACGAGCTCTGTTACTTTGGAGGCGACAAAAGATCAGCTCTCCAGTCAATACTTTAAAGATTACTTTCTTAGGAGAGGCTGGAGTTGACACAGGTGCTCTACGAAAAGAATTCCTGACAGGTCAGAATTTTTATATTTTTTTACTTGGTAACATATCTTAAGCGCTACACCAAAAAACATTTGATTTCTTGTTGATTTGTTATGGTTAGATATCTATTTTTTATATATAGAACTGATTGGTGGCATAGAGACCAGACTCTTTGAAGGAGAGGAGGGCAAAGGCAAAATGCCAAAATATTCATTGAATGATCTTGACAATGGCCTGTTTCGGTAAGTGTTTCTCCTCAAAGAAATAGGTCACCCAAAAATTAATGTTGTCATTTATTTGCACTCATGTCATTCCAAACTTAAGTGTGCCATTTTCTGTGGAAAACAAATAAGAAAATCTCAGCTGTTATTGTCCGGACAAATCAATGACATTTAAACTTTTCTGGATCTAAATAGGAAGCATTTGTTTTAGGCTGAACAATCCTTTCAAAAGCAAATGTAATTTAAACATGTAAATTTCAAATACCGGTACACACTAACTGGTAAATTGTAAAATTCTACTATACTGTGTTTCTTGTTCACTTGTCATTGCAACAGAGTTGCTGGAGAGGTCTTTGCAGTTAGCCTTGCACAGGGTGGCCCAGCTCCAAGATTTCTTCAGGACTGGTGTTATGATTTTCTGTTGAGTGGAACCCTTGAAAACGCTACCAAGGATAACGTTTACGATGCTGAGTTTTCACCACTGATTAAAATGGTATCTGAAAAACAAATTGTCTTAGGTTATTTCTATTGCCACGTAATTTTTTTTTTTGAAGTGTAACACTTAGATTTTCCTTTACTTAAAGATCGAGGAGGCCTCAGACTTGTCATCTTACTGTGAACAGATTGTCAACTGTGGCTACACGGGGCCTATAAATGAGGACAACAAGGAGAATATAACAAGGTTTAACTCTGCAATATTTTTAAATGTGTTTATTTTATGTATCTTCCACAGAAAATACAATGGTTAAACATTAACACTGAAATTTTTGTTTTATTTCTTTGAAGAGCTATTGTAATGCATGCTGCTGCTCGGAGAACACTCATGCTTCAGCAGCTCCGTGAAGGTTTACAGCTTTACCGTTTAATTGACACTATGGAGAAGAACAGGGAAGTGTGCCGCAGCCTCTTTGTTATGCAAGGTGGTAATGATAAGGTAAAGTGATAGGATTTTCAAAACATTCTAGTTCTATTTTGCATAAATGGTTTAAAAGATGTTACAGCAGTAATCCTTAAATAATTTTTTCTTTGTATATTGTATGATGTTGTTTATATAATGATTGTCATTTTTGTTGTGTTTCAGGTGGACTCTCATTACATTGTATCCCATCTTGTTCCACAAATGAGTGAGAGTGGCACTCTAAAACATACCAAAGAGGTTCAAATACTGAATCACTTCCAGGATTTTCTGATGGAGCTTGAAGGTAAGTTTGTATTCATTTCAGGTGTTTCACATGCAGATATTTATTATATTTCTACAATGGTGAAACATTATTAGTAAAAATATGGCTGATAACTAATTGATCAGATCGTTACTTGTCTTCAGTGTCACATGACCCTTTAGAAATCATTCTAATATGCAGATTTGATGCTTAAAAAAAATTTCAGATTATTGTTAGAAAAAGTTAACATTAACATAGCTTAACATTATTGTGGAAGTAGTTATGTTTTTCATGATTCTTTGAAGAACAGAACGTTAATTTATTTATGCATTTATTACATAGGACTCTTTTGTAACATTATAAATGTTTTCTTAATTCAATTTATTAAATCCTTAATAAATACAATTATTCATTTGTCTTTTTATAATCTTACCAAAAATGTTTTAATGGTATCATTGTTTCCACACAAATGCTGCAAAAACTGATTTCAACATTGATACGTTTTTGAGCATCATATTAGAGTGATTTCTGAAGGATCATATGACACCGAAGACTGAAGTAATGATGCTGAACATTCCGCTTTGATCACATAAATAAATTACAAATGGTACAAGTTATAAATGTTGTGATGATATAAATGGTTATTTAAAACATTGTATATTTTACTGCCCTAGATGGAGATGCTCAGGATGAGGCAGCACTCTCTGTCCCACAGGTGATGCAGTGGCTGACTGGTCAAGCGCATAGGCACCTGCTTCTGTCAGAGAGAGAGGCCTTTAAAATTACTGTTCAGTTTGACCACACTTGTATGCAACGACTGCCAAGCCACACACTTTGCTATCCAATCATCAGTGCATGCACCCAAACCATTACATTTCCCACTGCACATCTGTCAAATTGTGATGAATTTAAAGAAATAATGAAAACAGCTGTGCAACATGGAGGTTGCTTTTTTAGGGTGTAGAAAATTAACTGAAATGTCCACATAGAATTTCTCTCAATAGGTTTAATTTCATCTTTAAAATTCAGACAATGAGAGACAATGTTCAACGTGTTAATAACTTTACATGCTTCTGAATGGTTAAATGTTTTACAGCATTGTATAAAATTAATTAAATGTTTTAATGGCAATTAACTGATTTTTTTTTTTAATTAAAAATTTTACAGAACTGCATCTGTACTTGAGTGTTTTACTTAAACATTTAAATGTTAAATAGAGCACAATCTTTGGATGATAGCAAGTGTCTGGATATAAAGCTCCCTGTCATTCAATGGTGATGTCAAGGGATTAATCAATCCATGCAGAACAGCAAGTTTTTGGTCAGAAAAAGGGCAATGGATCTCTGGCACCACCACACCATCCTCTAAGTCAGTATCAGGAGTTTCCTCTCGAAAAAGTTGCTCCACCACCTGGAAAAACAAACCATTGTTATGTAAAAATTATTTTCTTTGATAAACTGGTTAATTATCTTATCCCAAAGAAGCTATATCGAAGTAAATTAATAGTTCACCCAGGAGGAAAATCCTGACATTTATTTGCCTAAATGTATTTTAGGCCTTATTTATACCAGGCATTGAAATGAGTCACGATTGCAGGGGTTCTCGACTCTGGTCCTCGAGATCCACTTGTGTGCAGAGTTTAGCTCTAAACTTCAAATACACAAGGTTCTGGCTAAACTTTCGGAAAGTAGATCTCGAGGGCCAGAGTTGAGAGCCCTCTGGCTATGTCAAGATAATAGTGCCAAAATGGAAAAGCATTAATTATTCAGCTATCTGAAAAAATAAAAACATTTACATTACATTTCATGTAATTACATTTCATGTCAAGTCGCTTCATTAAATTAAGGTTAAACCACTGGAGTCACATGTAAGGACATGTTTTCCGGGGCTTGAAAGTGGTAGTTACATGTAGAGTATCAATGGAGGGACAGTCATTAAAGGGTTATTCACCCAAAAATGAAAATTCTATCATCGTTTACTCACCCTAAAGTTGTTCCAAACCTCTATGTGTGTTTGGAACAACTTGAGGGTGAGTAAACGATGATAGAATTTTCATTTTTGGGTGAACTAACCCTTTAAAAAGATAATTTCTGTTCTAAAGATGGATGAAAGTTACGGGTTTGAAAGCGACATGAACATTTGACATACCTTTTAAGGTTGAGCAAATGAAAACAGAATTAGCATTTTTGGATGTGTAATCTTTTTAACTTTGCATAGATGCTTAAAGCATACCTCTATATCTGGCTCATCCACTGGTGTCTGTAACATTCCGATGTACCAAAGCTGTTCTGGTGAAAGATTTCCCTCTGTTCTGATCGGATGGTTGTTCCAGCTCCTCGTGAAGCCCTTTAGGTCCGATTTCAACCGTGGAAGAATTGCATAGTGCACACAAAAGAGGTGCAGCTCATCGGATAGATCAAGCACTCTCTCTTCTTCCATTGTATGCAGGACTTCATAATATTTACAAGAGATGGCTGACCAAACATCACACCACAGACGCTCAATTCTAAAATAAAAAGACACATAAGTATGCACAAATCATAGCTTACAAAAAAGTAAAGAAAATGCAAATAATTATCATATTGCTGCATTACAAAGTTCAGGTTTCAAAGATACGCCATGGTGTGACCTCTAAACTGAATTGAAAGAACACCAATTTTAAAGCTGCACATGCAGCAATTTGAGAAAATTCTTTCCATGTGATTACATTTTCAGTCTCCCACAACTGAATGTATATAAATAGAAGTCAATATAACAAACAGTGTACCACCCCTTTAATCAGGGGAGATTTAAAAAATAAATTTGCTCATTGTTAGTGAGTTTTAACATTAGACTCGAGTGGTTTCTGCTGATTAAATTAGAGATGTTTGTTTGTGGCATCATGTGTAAGGCAAGTGACTGTGCCCCACAAGAAATAAAGAGCATGTGATACAACTCTTAATGATTTGATTTGTACCTTTGATTGTGCACACTTTTTCCAGAAATGAAACTGCCTCGGCCCGTTCCTCGTACTGAAAACATGCAACGAGCGATGTCCACATTTTCAACTCCCTGGTCACCACGTACTCTGCAAAAGATTTAGACAACATACATGCATGCATGCATGCATGGTGTTATTGATTTACAATTTTTTTTACAAGTTCCTGTAATTGTATACTTATTGTCAAACACATAGATGATTTTAGCCCAGATTATCACTTTCAGTTTTGTGGAGACTGCTGACAAAAGCCTGAAATCTGAAGCATATCAGGGCCCGCTCATGTGAGCGACAATCACTAAGTGCGAATTATCAAAGAGGCGATCTGACAAAAGATTTGAAGAGGTCTCATTCATAAGTTCAAACACTGATAAATCATCATGACTAACATGTCATGTAGTAAAGATAATTTTTACCTCGACGGCCACCCATGTTTGTGGACACCCTCCAAAAAAAATGAGAAAGCAGTCGATGCTTTGTTGTTTGCAGCAGCATCAAGATACAGGATCTAAAATAAAAACGATTTTAATATTTTATAATAGAACATTTACTTTTGAGACCAATTTGTCGTGACAACTCTGGCAACTATTATAACCTTTTGAGTTTAAAAACAGACCATATGCAAAGTTTGTCAAACAGTACCTTCCTTGAGAATCCATCAATTCCACCAAATATCACAATGTTGAAACTAAACACAAATACAGACACAACTATGCTGTTTATTGTAAGTCATTTGTTTTGTGTACATATGGTACATGCATCACTGTGTGAAGACAGCAATATTTTTTGTAGGTTTGTGCATGCAAGTGAAATTTACAGTTCAAATACTCACGTGATTAGTTTATGGTTGGTATCCACATGAACTAGGGACAATGGAGCAGGAACAGAATAACTTCTACGAGCTACAAAACCAAGCTGGAGCATTCTGGCCAAAATTCCAGCTCCATCGACCCGTCGCATACTGGCCTTCAACCTGTGCCATTGTATGCGGTGCCCTCTAGCCAAAAGCTCCCCTTTTACTAGCCTGTAACCAGCATGGGGCATTCTTCTTTTTATTTCTCTCACCACACGATCAAGTTCATTATCCGATATGCTCGAATAGCAGCCTCTGACAGAGAGGGACTGCTCCTTCAGTCTTCTATTCATTGTTCTTCTTGAAACACCACAGAGCTGTGCAAGAGTTTCTACAGGAAGAGCAGTAGTGAGAAGTTCTTTAAGGTCATCCCTGCTGATTTCCAAACGTGGGCGTCCCACGTTTCCCCAGGTGTAAGTTACAATTTCTGACGGATTTCCTGAAGGGTCTTCCGAATTCAGAGATATATTAACTACGTTGATTAACTCCTGTAGACCACTAATTAAATTATCTGGGATGTTAACATGAGTTGATGCATTAATAGCCAAAGCAAGTTCTTGCTGAGCAACATCCAGGAGGTATTCCAAATCTATAGCTTCATTCCGACAAATCAAGTTAAACTTGGTTAGCATACGCTGTAAGATATCTTCTTGCACTTGTTCCTGCAGGTATCAACAATGCCTGGTTAGCTTACTTATCAAAGTAACTAACGTTACATAATTCCATGCCGATCTTGGCAAGTTTAGCAGGGTAACGCTGTATTAAAAAACAGCTAAAAACTTAACTTACCCAAGTTCGTTATTTTATGCATTCGAATAACATGAATGTATGCCTACCTGGAGAAGTGACATTTCTCTTTGGCCCTAAAAAATAATATCAAAAGAAAATAAGATTCTATTTTTTTATGGACAATAACAAAGATAGAATAATTTACTTAACGGTTAACAACACTGTTATTAAATACAAAAGAAGATGATTTAGATGATTCGAGAAAAACATATTTTAAGAAGTAACATTACCAGGGCTGCGTTTCACAAAAGCACGGTAAACATGACTTACAACCAGCCATCAATCAATGTGTTTTACGATTGTTACCTCGCAATGATTAAGAAACGCAGCCCAGTTCATTAATGAACGATCTAAACAAAGACATAACTTGGATTGAGCAGAAAAAACTTCTAGATTTGTCTATGGATTTGATATTAAACGTAACATTACCTCGGGCTGCCTCGAATGCCCTGCAGTTGAGGATGTTGATGACGCTCCGTGCCGCTCCTGGTTATTACTCATCTCGGTTTTATTAATATTGATCGATGATGTGCTTTAATATCACAGTGTTGCTACTGTTGTTAGACACAGATCCAGAGAATGTCTGCAGATCCCAAAATTCGCGCCGCTGAAGTCTCTCCTTCCGGTTCAAGGATCTGTCAATCCAAATCTCACTAGCCAATGAGAGCAAACCGCTGTTAAGCCCGCCCACACGGTAGGTATGGGACAGAATTGCGAACGAAAACTTCAGAAGCGTAAGCGAAAATGTCAGAAACGTAAATGAAAACTCTAGAAGTGCATTTGTAAGTTCAGATCAGCGAAAGAAATATGAGAAATAGTTAGCAAAACATGCAGTGTGCTAAAAACGAAGTCAATAAATTTGCTAGTGAGTTATTCTTTTTCAGTTTCAAAGATATTTTTTTTCAGTTTCAATTTATATTTTCGTTGATTTCTTGAAAAGTTACGTTCATTTTTATTGGCTCAATATTAATTCCATATATTAGGGTGTTGCAACCTGGGCAAGTTTTTTGTGAACTTCCTGGCATCTCTAAAATGAAGCAAATATTGACATAAAAACCTTAATACAACTTGTTTTTGTAACATGAGATCCAGTAACAAGAGTCACAATTATAACGTTACATTTTTTTCATAACTAGGTTGTTACTATAAAGGTGGGTATTACTACTGGCTGGCCTAGCCACTAGGGTTGCCAACTGTCACGTATTAGCCAGGACATCTTGTATATTGATTTGTCCCATTTATTGACTGCTACGCTGATTTAACCACTGACTGATACAACAGAAACAGTGTTGCAAGCACATGTAAAGTCATGTTTTTCTTATTTCCAAACTGTTAAAAAGTACATTCATGTGCCTGGGGTTTCTCATCATAGACATCATATAGAGCTAGACGCCCTATTGGCCGCTGGGCGCAAGAAATACGGCCGCCATCTTCAACTGGTCGCACTCCTAGTTGCACAGCTGAAAAAAGCAAGATGCCAGAGCAATGCGCAGCATATTCATGCTCAAATCGGCGGACCATCTCAAAACTCTACAGGGATTTTAGCTAATGCAAATCTTTCATGAATGTGTGTGTGTTGGGCTGCTAAATGTCAAGGGCTGGGAGGAGATGGATGGAGAAGAACCGGGTAGTATAGTGTGTGTGTGTGTGTGTGTGTGAGAGAGAGAGAGAGAGAGACAGAGAGACTAATATAAAATAGACTCTTAATATAATTTAAACAAATATTGTTTGTTAATCATATATTGAATTGTTTCAAATTATTAAAATATATGACTTTGCTTATATATATATATATAAATATATATAAATATATTTGACTTTTATGCTCACTGAACATAAACACAACAGATCACTCAGATCATTAGGATCACATCAGCTACAAATACCAAGGGTTCACTCTAAGCATGGAGAGTCTGCTTTAGCTATTATGTCAGCCGCAGCTGGAACCAGCTTCCAGAAGAGATCAGGTGTGCTCCTACAGTAGTCACATTCAAATCCTGTTTAGCTGTGCATTTACTGAATGAGCACTGTGCCACTGTTCGTCCGATTGTTTGTACTGTATTTTATGTTTAAATTATTATGATTTCTTTCGATTATTTTAATTTATTCTATGTACAACACTTTGAATTACCATTGAGACTGTTTGTACTGTATTTTATCTTTACCATTGTGTATGAAATGTGCTATATAAATACACTTGTCTTGCCTTGCACTTACTATCTGTTTTTAATTGTCTATCATAGTGTGTGATTTGCTAAATACCTATCATAGCCTACATCATCATAGGGTGACCAGACATTCCCGGTTTCTGAGGACAGGCCCTGTTTTTGGTTGCCTGTCCCTGGCTAAATACAGAAGAAAAAAAACTCTTAATAGAATTAGAATTAGTAATATAAATTTAAAATAGAAAAAAAAATGATAGTCAAACTCGAAATATCCCAAGTTTTCCCCCCTTTTTGGGAATTATGTTCCAAGTTTTGATCTTGGACGTATGGTCACTTTATATGTCATATATCAGAATATTATATTAACAGTACTGTTAAGCTCATTATGAACTTTAAAATACGTCGAACCATGTGTCATATAGTTACATGTAGCCTATGACCTGTGCAGCAAAAAAAAAAAAAAAAAAAAAGATAAAAAAATAATAAAAACTCTATATGATGTCAATGTCACTCATCCCTCATCCCAGATTTATGTGCAGTAACGTTTAAGTCAAGTAATATTGTTATTACTGACACATCACAATGACGTTCGAGAGAAAATGACATCGTCTAGAAACTAGAGTTAGCTGCTAGCTTATGCTGAAGTTAGCTAATAATTTAGCAAGCTGTTACGACCTGTGATTTGGTTTGTTTTATTGCTTTGTTTTTTTGTATTTTCTTTCTTTTCTACCCCTCTTTCTTTCTTGTTGCTTTAATTTCAAACAGGAAACCGGTGAACCAACCCGGGTTGTAAGCCGCCATTGGTTGTCCAGCCGGGGCGTGGACTTTATAAGGACGCTGCTGGAAATGATCGGGGAGCTCATTGTTGGTTCGGCCGCACGTGGGTTGAGAGCTCCGGAATCCCTCCTCCGGCCGATGATCAAATGTTGTCTAAGAGATTAATTAGTCCATCTGAATCCTGTTCTTATGTTTAAAACAACTTAACAAAGTGGAGCGTGTAGGGGTGTCCTGCCTTGTTTATTTCGATCTTGTTTGACCTCTGTTTTTGAGTAGGGAGTTAGGTAAGATCAATGTATTTTCTTTTGATATTGGATTAGGTTATTAATTTCCCCTCTTTTCTTTTACATTCGTTTTGTTTGTTATTTTGGCCTTTTGGACACCCTGAAGATTTGCTCTTTATTTCACTTGTTAATTCCTTAATAAATTCTTTACATTTTTCTTAAGGTTTGTGTTTGAGGTTTTGATTCTCGACCGGAGTGATACGTCCTGGGATTCCCTTTCCACAACCCAATAATTTATTACGCCTCGTATGATTTATATTCCCCTAGACGCGGGACGTAATAATTGGGGGCTCGTCCGTCCAATTCTATTTTTGATTTGGAAATCCGCCCGATCCAAATTCATTCGATCCGGTTTAGTAACAGGTTGTGTAAAATTGGCAGTGCGACACAAGTTACCTGTGAATGGCGTGGCCTTAATTATAGGTAACGATCTCGCTGGAGGGAAAGTACTGCCAGTGCCCGAAGTCATTAAAAATCCTGTGTATGATTCTGTTACTTCCGGTGAGTTGGCATCAGAGTTTCCTTCAGTGTTTGCGGCGTGTGTAGTTACGCGGGCTCAAACGCGTAAATTTGGTGACTCGATTGGTATTTCGGATACCTTCTTGGCAGTGGAGGACCAAGTAAAAAGTGACGTTTGCGGTGTACAACCTGAGCTGTCTGATCTGATATGAATTAAGGTTTTATTTATTTATTGTAATGTATTGTTTCGTTTATTTTAGAGCTTGTTATGGGATACCATATAAAATATACTACCTCTAATTAGGTTTTTAAACACAAACTTCCCTCCACCCATTAAAATTCTATCCAGTTACATTTTAACACACATTGTGTGTTAAAACCTACACAACTTGTGTCAAAATACCATCAACACATGATGTGTGTTGTTTTTTAACACATCTCTTTTTAGAGTGTGGGAAGTAAGCTTTTATTTAACCTGAAATAATTCAATGTAACGTACTGTTAATGACGTCACTTAAGATTGATAATAAGTGATTTCAGGAGGAACAGAAAAAAACCTTCACAACAAAGGGGGAATTATTGTTTAATCATGATAATAATTTCATATGCGTTTTTTGCACAATATATTAGCTTAAGATTTTTTATATATATTCTTTATCTTTTCTGCATTTTATCTCTGCTCTAGCTTGCTTCCTTGTAATAAACCCTTTGTTCTTTTGTAAATTCTATGTGCTAACATTGTTGGCTCTGTGACACATTGCATGTTATTTTCTAGAAGATCATCATGCTGGTTGGCCTGCTGCACCCCCTGTCCAAGACAATCTCATTCTCCACGGCTATGAACTCGACTAGTAAGCAAAACTTCAAACATAAGTTACTGTTCAATTGTTGTGGGTCTGCACTCTGTAGGATTTATACTTTTGAATGAAGTCACACACTTTAAAATCATTAACCCCAGTTTTTTTCAGGGAGATTGTCCTTGAGAAGCCAGTAAGCTAAATAATAGGCGGCAAATATAATGTTATAAAAATGGTCATAGTTATAATAATTCATTTAACTATTATTATAACAGGATAATGGTCATTGGTATATATATATATATATATATATATATATATATATTTATTTTTTTCTCTTGGTGTGTTTTTAATTATGTTAGCCAATGAGACAGACACCATACTGTCCAACTCAAAGGTATTTTTTATGTAGTTTTTTTTTCTGATAAATACTGAAATTCTTTTTACTTTCAAAAGCTGAATTCAGGAAGTCGACAACTTTAGGCACGCAAGTTATTTTTCACAGATATCTGTCCAGTTTACTCATGGCTCATACTCTTAGCCTTTAAAATGTTTGAATGTATATCTGCAATACATTATCAGGGGGTAAAGATATCATTAGAGTTTTTAAAGTTATGGCTATGCTCTTGTTACCAGATGAGATGTCAATCATTTGACCCTGTGGTTCTTCAGGACAAGATCTTGATGCCATCCACACTGAACATGACATCGTACATGACGAAGGTGAGTTTCACAATAGCTGCCACTATCACAAACCAAGAGACCGAACACAACAGGCCTTCATCCATATGAACTCACCCATGCATAGGAATAGGTTCCGAAACCCGGTATTAAACATTAAACGGGGGCCAAATTAAGGAAGCTCAGATGTTTTCGGTTCTGCTGACGGTACTGAAGAAACTACACACACTATTAGACATTGTCTTGCAAATTCTGTGAGGATTAGGAGGGGTGTTTTAAACAGTCTTCATACAACATGTGTTTTCCAGGCTGGTTGTTTGTCATTTTGTAAGACTAGGGAGAGGCTGTACCTCAGTAAAGACTTATTTTACATTCGATAATTCAATTTCCGTACCTGATAAGTTAGATTTTCCTAAAAAAAACATCATGCACTGCTTATTTCAATTGTATTTTTCTTCTTTTGAATTTATCTATGCTTGTAATTTGTTTATAATTTTCAATGCAGATTCACTCTAAATAAATATAATAATCTCTTGAAATTTGTTTTTATATCGCAATATATATAGCAGCAGATAAACAAAATAGATAAACAAAATATTTTATTTAAGGTTTTCAATATTGTCCTGCCGTAATATTTAGCATTTAACCTAACTCTAATTTTTTATTGAATGTGGAATGATAATTTGTGATACCAGATGAGATGTATGCATGATAGATTTTGATCTGTACTATTTTTTTTTTATTGCAGGTTTTCTGGAATCCACAGCGGAAGGGATCAAGGCATGAGATGTTGGCTTGGACAGATGTACCTGTACACCACACCGACCTCTGCTTTTGCATGGATGGCTGATTACTATCATGTTCTGTATAAGTTTTATAATAGCAAAACTGAGCACCTTCGACAGTGGTAGATGTAAAGTAGTCAGACATCAGTACATTTAAAGTCACAGAGAGAAAGTTTTTTATATAAGTATAAAACAATTTTTTGGCCAAATTGATAATGTTTATCAACAAAAATATGACCCTATGAGTTTGCTAATTTGTAGAATAGGACACACACACACACACACACTCTCTCTCTCTCTCTCTCACACACACACACACACACACACACACCACACACACACTGTATATATTTAATAGTTATTTAATTAAATATATTTCAGTTTTTTCTTTTTACTTGTTGTTCATAATTTACATAACATTAAATTAACATAAATCTTTGTCTTGTCCTAATATTATTTACTGTTGATTTATTACGCCTATGCATGATCACATTATTATTATTAATTCATAATCTGTTTTTTGATTACACAAAATAAATAAATAACGAATCTCTGCTTTGTATTGTATCTTTGAATGTGTTAAAACGTTAAATGCATGCTTATTCCTGATTAAGGTTCTTCAAGAACAAATTTGAAAAAGTTTCTGCATTCTAGTTTGTTTACCTACAGGTCTTTGACAACACTGGAGACGGGCTTAGAACGTTCTGGGAACGTCACATATCCAAATAAAACATTGGTCCCCTAAACGTTCTGAGAACGTCCCGAATGTTCTGTGAAGGTCGCAAAATAACGTCCTCTGACCCTTTAAAGAACTCCACATCATGACCGTCTCCGAACGTTCCCGAAACGTTACTAGGCAACGTGTTTGACACCAGTGGGGACGTTCTGAGAACGTCCCGAATGTTCCGTGAAGGTCGCAAAATAACGTCCTCCGAACCTTTAAAGAACTCCACATCATGACCGTCTCCGAACGTTCCCGAAACGTTACTGGGCAACGTGTTTGACACCAGTGGGGACGTTCTGCACCAGTATGGAACGTCCTCCTGAGAGTAGTATGAAGCTGCAGACTCGGAGACCTGCATCTACAGTCCCCCACCCAGAGTCCCGCATTCTCAGACCCCTCGTTTTTCGAGACAGCGCCTCCTATCAAATTGTATCGGATAAACATAAACGTGAGTAGGCTATCTTCAATTTTATTTAGCGAATCGTAGTAGCCTACTCGTTTGATTTTATTTTTTTAATAAAACTAATTTAGCTCATCGATACAACATATGAATAGTCCATTGAATATTTGTAAAGTTAGTTTGTAACAAGATTTGAGCCGTTAATGTAGGCTATGTTTTTTCGCCCTTTCCCCCCGAAAATATTTAGATAGCTAACGTTTATAATTTAGCTTTGAAACATCATAAGACATGCTATCGTCCTATGTTGTAGGCAGGGTACACCATACATCGATGGAGTTGCCCCTGCCTAACCCAGCAACATCATTTTAGGATTATGCAAAGCGACTTAAATGAGTTTTTTAATGCAATTGAAGACGAAAAGTAAAGTCACGAACACATTTTTTCCTTCCTTTTTTCTTTACAGCAAGATGATGTTTAGGTGATCATTATCTTAAATAAAGTAGGAATTGTTTATTTTATTGGTGTTTTGTCTATTCTGATTTGTTTTGCTTCGCATTCAAAATATCAAAAAACAGATTTTGTAATCTTAGCATCGTAATGTTAATTAGACCATTATAGGTTGAACTGAAAGAAAAATTGGAATTTGAATAAAAAAATATTTAAAAAAAAACAATATAATATCACATACTATTTTTCTGAAGATAGTTCAATCTGTAATTGTATCCCTTCCATCAGTAACAATTAGTTTTTTTCTGCACATAGGGAACGCAAATATTTATTGGAAAATTTATTTGGAGACCGTAATATTGCATCCTATTGTTTTTAATTGCATTTGGATAATCGTACGCTGTACTCTGTGTGTGGGTGTTATTCGACCTTTTGAACAGCAGGAGGCGCTGTGTTCGAAAAACGAGGGGTCTGAGAATGCGGGACTCTCGGTGGGGGACTGTAGATGCAGGCTCCGAGTCTGCAGCTTCATAATATTGCCTCCTGAAGTCACATTGGGAACGTTATTATATGACCAACAGGGGACTGTATGGGAACGTTCTGTTGACGTCCCGAATGTCCTCTTTGTAACGTTGTTGTGTGACCATAGAATAACCAGTATGGAACGTCCTCCTGAAGTCACATTGGGAACGTTATTATATGACCAACAGGGGACTGTATGGGAACGTTCTGTTAACGTCCCGAATGTCCTCTTTGTAACGTCTGTTATGTGACCTTAAAATACCCCAAATAGAACGTCCCCCTAAGGTCATATAAGGAACCTTGAACTGCAGCACTTTCATAACCAAAAGAGGACGTTCTATGAACGTCCTCAATGTTCTATAAAGGTTCGGAACTTTCGTTACCTTTAGAGAACTTTTAGGGAACGTTGCATAAGGTCGCGAGAACGTCCCCTCCTACGTGGGTATGTTGTTTTTTGTTAATGAAGAGTCAGAAGGGTGTTTTATAACATATTTCGTCTTATTGTTGACGAAAAGATGCAGAGTTGCAGCAAATTTCGTTTTATTGTTGCCTAAAATATAGAGTAGAGCGTGCTGAGTGATGCGATCAAGTACGCTCTGTTCCATTTGCAGAAGAACCGGACTTGCGTCCTCGCATCCTCGGGAGTTCGTTCTCCAGAGTCGAACTTGGCAAGTCTGAACTACCAAGGACGCAAGTCCGAAGTCTGCGTACTTGGTATTGAGAAACGGCCAGTTTTACCTGGATTTCCAGCAGATGTTAGACAGCGACAGATTCGTCACACCTTAAATAAAGTATGCAATGTGTGGGTATTCGCAGATTATTTTTATAATGACAATTTGTGGCTTAATTTAAATTGAGGAATAGCCAAGACAACTGTGGATAGGGACATGTTAACATTTATTTATTTTAATAATTAGTGCACGCGCGCGTCCCCATATTCACCTTTTTCCTCACTTCTTCGTAGGGGGCGCCATAGCGGCGAGTGACTTCCGGTAAGATGCTCTCAACTTCCGTTAAGTAATTGTCGTCAGCTAAACGCAGTTACGAGTGATGGCAAATAGTGGCGGCTCTGGTAGAATTTGTGCCGTTAAAGGCTGTCACAACAGCTACAGAAAACTAAAAAAACTTTTCTGTTCATGATTTCTTTTGGTCCCTGCATTCCATCTACGCTGTTCATCAGTGCAAGATATCCCTGTCACACCACTGCATTCTGCACCTTTCAAAAATCAGAATATAATATAAATAATATATTTATTTTTACATGTATTATTTTTTATAATTTACATTTATTATAGTTTAAATATTGCTTTGTAAAAATGTACTCATGTTGAATCATGCTGCACAGACTATTTAAATGTAACTTAGTTGCTGTTTGTTAAGCCAGGCTAGCAGTGTACGGTATTTATAAATACCCACCTTCCACAACACAGCAGCAGCATGGCTACAAGACCTACCAGGGCCAGCTACACAGGAGCATCCAGCTGTTTCCACTGTTACTCCGTTAGTTTGTACCATAACCTAACACAGTCTCATCCCAAAAAGTCATATAACTGACGTTTTGGGACGTCTTTTGACCATACGTCAATATCAGCCTTTTTAGGGCCCCCTTAAACGTCGGTAGATGGCGATCCCGGGCCGTCATACAACTGACGCTTTACCTTTAACGTCAGTTAGGTGACGGGTTAGGTTTAGGGTTAAGTTTAGGTATGGGGTAGAGTTAGGATCCCATAACCTCATCTACCGACGTTTAAGGGGGCCCTAAAAAGGCGAATATTGACGTATGGTCAAAAGACGTCCCAAAACGTCAGTTATATGACGTCTTGGGGTGAGACCGGGTTGCATAACCCACGCGATGTGATTGGGTTTATTTATTGTCTGACTGGGCTCTACCTCCGCTTTTAAGAAAGTGAACTGCTGATGATTGTGGGACAGAATTCGACCAATTTTATTACTGTGTAAGTAATTGTATGCCTTCGTGCTTTTATCATTTCTAAGCTCCTCGCCGTCGACACCCTCAGACAAAACAAGATAATTAATTATGTCAACATATGTGACTGCTGGCCATTGACTCATATCATCAATCCAGGAGGTGGCGCTTGTTAGCTTCGTAGGATGAGGGACAGACAAAGTTATGTTGTTTACGGTCTTCGTTAAATAGTCTTGCCCGTGCTGCCACCGCGAACTAATGTTACCATTGCTTGTTGCCATTATGGATATTGCATATATATAAAACAGATTACAACCTTCGTTTCAGAGCTGTCCAATAACGCCTAAACTAAACGCGTCAACAGGCGAACCGGAAGTTTCGAGCATCCTGCCAACGCGCACGCGCAAAGCAGGACGGGTAGTTTCGCGTCCCGTGAAAAAGGTGAATAACATGATCCTCATCAACAGAACTTACTTTCACTTTCACTGTGTGACGTGAGAGAGAGAGAGAGAGAGAGAGAGAGAGGCGCGTAAACAGAGACGCGCGTTCACGAGAGCGTGTACGTGAGTATTGTAGTTGTGTGAACGTTTTAGATAAAGTGGTAATTACTATGTTGATACAATTAGAATGCATAACACGTCAAATAAAAATTAGTCCAGGCAAAGTAGCGTTTTACGACAGACTAATTGTAAAAGAATTTTTTTCAGCATAGATCATTTCTATGAGGTGTCCAGAACAACATACTAAAAGTCCTAAGAAATCCTAGTTGAGGAAATATGTTTAATTCGCATCAATCCGAGATGTGTGCCAGTAAGGCCAGACAACAATACACCCCAATGGGGCTATCTTTTTTCCTTTACTCCTATCAAAATAAAACTTTATACAATGAAAGTATCCATGAAAAGTAACAAATTTTGTATTACAAGTTTCTTTGAAAATGAATTTTATTATGCAAATGAGCTATACACTAATCGAATATGCCCCAAATACACCCAAATAGGCTTAATTTTTTCCTTTACTCCTACCACAATAAAACTTTACACAATGAAAGTCTACAAGAAAAGTAAAACATTTTGTATTAGAAGTTTCTTTGAAAATAAATTTTATTATGCAAATGAGCTATACACTAATCGAATATGTCCAAAATACACCCTAATGGGCTTAATTTTTTGCCTTATT